GACACCTTTGACCGTGTCAGCATAGCTGAGGCGGAGCGATTACGCTCGCAGCGAAAAGATATTTTGTAATTCGCACCGCGCCTTCCGTCTGAGAATCTGAAAAGCTCCTCAGAGTATTTGTCAGAGGGCTACCGCAAGGCTACACCGCTGAGACGTGGAAAACGAGCTGAAGAAGCTCGGCTACGCTCTCAAAGCAGTAAGACAAATCTGCCTGCTGAAGGAAATCGTGGTCGCCAGAAAACCAGCGATTCCGGTGTAAGCCAATGGTGCAACAAGGCACGAAACGCGGCGGGTGGAAGTGCCCCCACAGGAAACGTATTCGCTGTCAGCCCTCATGTGACAGCGCCGCGTCGCGTAATAGTCGTACGCTCTTAAAAACAATACGTAATCTTCGCCATCGAGGTCCAAAGGGAAAAGTGGCCAGAACCTGATTTTGCATGCGAATGCTGCCGATGGGCCACAATTGCTCGTTAATTGCGAGATACGAATCGTGCGCTGTCGCCTCTGCACGGGCGAGGGTTCACCCTGCGAGAGACTACAAATCGCGAACCGGCGCATTGCCAAACGCCGAAATTTTAATTTAAAGCCGCGTCTGCTGCAATTGTAAGCAGCATCACGCTGCATTCTTAACAGGATGCCAGCCAATTGCACCCGTTTGCCAACCGCGTCCGTCAGACGCGCGTGCAGATAGGACAACCGAGGACCCCTCCCCGCCAAAGTAGTTCCTAATAGAAAAACTCGGCGCCTTCGGTCGGCGCTAGCGCGCGGGGCCGCCTGAGACGAGGTCTCCGCAGCCGCCTCGGCGCGCCGCCCTTCCCAGAGGCCAACGCCACCACCCTCCGGGGCGGCCGGAAGCGCGGCCCCACTGGCACCCGCAGCGCCGCCCACAAGTCCTAGAGCCAGATTCTTAGCCGGATGGTTTTTGAAGCCGGAATCCTAAATATGATACCCGACAATGTCTAGACAAAATCAGAACGTAGACAAGCGGAATAGCACCTCTCCGCGCTTGCAGCTTGGAACGCCAAGTTCATCTTTTAAAGCCCAATGAAACATTTTGCATACAGAACTGCAATCGTCGATACCTGGCTTTACAAGAAACGTGGCTCAGTGATGAAGCACGAACTTCAAACGTCCGGGGATTTGCTGTTATCGCCGAGACCGCGCGCTGCAGGGCCAGGCGGCGAGAGAGGCAATCCGCTGCGCCGAGAACCCGCAGCTTGAACAGCAGAATCCCTTGCTATGCTCTGGCGTCTCTAGAGGCGCGTCGGCGATACGTCTGGGTAGTGAAACGGCGACTAATAGTCCGTATCCGTTCTACTGCCCAAGCACAAAGCTAGATCGGCCTGGAATTGATGGCGCTTTCTTGGCACTAAATGCCTAAAGTTATCCTTGCTGGTGACTTTACGCCAGACATAGAACTTGGGCGGCCTCGGAAGCACACAGAAACGGCAACAAAATTGCCAATCTTGTAGCGACTAAGGCGGGCGTAGAGATCTGGCCACCGAATAGCCCCGTAGGCATTTCCCGGAAGTACGAAAACAGGAACCCGGGCGTTATTGATTTTATGATTGTGAAAGGCGTTGGAGTGTGTGGTTCCCACGCTCAATTGCGTACTTTACGCCCAACGACGCGGCGTCTCCCGGATAGCCGAGAATTTATGGATTCGAGCCGCGGAAGCTTACGTACACACTAATGCATAGTGAGTTGCTTAGGGGGCATGGTGAGTTGCTTTAGGGGCAAGGGTTACATGTTATAAGAATGTTCATGCCTAATGCACCTACACTTGACGAAAATACAATGATATTCGCTCCTACATGTCCTAAAGGTTTGTTACACTTACTCTAAGGCATGTACGAGTACAAGTGTTTGTTTCAGTGGGCCCTAATAGTATTGAGAAAAGCGCACTCTGACGATCAAAGCAAGAATTCGCTGTTTCAACCCTGGTTGGATCGATGGATATTCTATTATATTCTTTCATAATATTCTTATGACACGAGTAAAAACAGAAATGTCTATCAGTACTAAGTACCTCCACTACTCTTGGTTCAAAAATCTCATGTTCCCTGATTTTCAAGCTGAAATTAGCTGACTTTCTGAAAGGCATTTTGAAATTTAATTGTAAAGTTTTTGACATATTTTCAAGTTTTTCGTTCAAATCAGTCACACTGATATCAAACTGTTTTTTTTTTCAGCATTGAATCTGTTTAAATGGGTATTCGAGGATGTGATGTACCGTTATCCTGCCGGACAAATAATGATTGGTCCTCTGCGATTCTTTTTGCTAAGCGAATTAAACGATATTAAGGTAATGAACTTCACGTATGCTGGCCCGGTGACCGAGGTCGTCAAGACAAATGCTCTTGGGAATCGGTTAGGATGGTCTCGAGTTCGATTGACTGTATGTTGAGGTATTTTGTGCCGTCCTATCCCTTCGTTCCTGTTGGCCTCCATTTTAAATTTAATAGATGCCAGGCAAATGACGGAGTAGAACCCTAATAATCAGACCAGGGACCACGCGCGAGTTTTCCTTCCTCTTCCTTGTCCTATCCTCACCTCTTTGTTGCACTTACACTCTCATGCACTAACTAACAAACATGTCCAGTCGGAAGCCTAGAGCTCTACTCGGGTGGAGGCATGTCCATAAAGCATAATGTTCCGAATGAATGAGGTATAATGTTCATAAAGGGAATGTCCCGAAGGAACGCATATTTGCTCATGCACTAGACACCAACACACTTGCGAGCTCCCCTCCTCTGAGGTCAGCAGAATGCAAGGCCTTCTACTACACATACATGAGAGACAAGGGACAATCAACCATGCGCAAGGCGGAACTCGAAACCGTGACCCTTCGGACTCAAGCGATGAGTCTTAGCCACCTCGACCATGCAGGTTGATTATACCATTCTTTTGACGGTTAATTACTGTTGTCATTGTATGCTACTGGTCATTTAAGTACTAGAAATTTCTGAAATTGACATAAAGAACGTGAACGAAACAGAATTGCGTCTATAATGAAGTGGAAATGTACACTATTCGACATTTCCACGAGTTGAAAATGTTTGCAATGGACAATTACCTGTGGACCAATTGACTGATAACCTCCCCTCGCAGCTTACATGCCGAGCTGAGAATCAATGAGAGCGCTCACGCTCTGTTCAGGGGAGTTGAGCAAGCCATGCTCTAACAACTCGCAAGACACTTTTACATTTAAAATTCTTATTAAAAGTGCGATTTTAAAATGTGAATATTTCTTTACAGAGTTTCCTAATGAATTCGAAAAATCACTCAAAGCCAAAGCTGATGATAGATTTTGCCTCTTCGGTCCTCGGAAGAGGGCTTCTTACGATAAATGGTAAGATACCTCCCCCAACGGTTAAATGCTAGTTTTAGAAAACGTTCAATTAAGAATCAACTTTCAAACGTATAAAACATATATTTAATATTTTTGGTAAAAATATAACTTTATACAATTGGTTTTGTAATAAAAATCAAAACTCTTGTAACGTAACCAAGGTATGTAATAATTCCTTCAAAATAAAAAAAAAAGCATGTGCCTCGTAATCATAAAAACAGACACACAACTAAATTTAATTTCACTATTCCGTAATTTAGAGATTATTGCTGAGAGCCATTTACACTTTCATTTATTAATTACTTTTGTGTCTGATTTGGCGTATGAACTGTTATGATCATTAGTGTCTTAAGTTATCGCATATTATATCACTGGAAGGGGAAGTGTTTTTCTTCCACGGACACGTGAGATCTGGCACCACATTGGCATACCTGCTATTTTTCACTTCAGGTATATCCCACTAGCTGAAACATGCTCTGAGCTTCCTAGTATTGTAGTGTATGTATGTAAGTCGCGTCAGTGCCCTGGCTCAACGTACACCATCGCCATCACCGCCGTATCCTACGAACCCTCTCGTACCCCTCAGCTAGGACGCTCCAAACTAAAAAGCCGCTCGAGAGGCAGGGCTTATTAAAAAATGCTCTTTTAGTTTACCGTTTATTTTAAAACAAATGCATGTTAATGGAAGTACAACCAAAGTCTTGAATTATATTAGAAAAAACATTGTTTTCTTTCATAACAACCAAAAAATCAAAAGTGTTTAACAACTTATTAATATATTTGGACCCAAAATATTGAAAACTAGCAATGGTGTTCTTCAGACGACTTGAAGCAATTTTCCTCAATTTGTTGAATATTTCCTGTTAAGGTTCTTCAGAATAGTTTATTGTTCTTTAGTTTTATTGGATGACAACTCAGCTAGAGTAAAAATAATAATATGGTAGTCATTGTTTACAAATTTTGATATTTAACAAGGCACATGAATCGACATTTAAAACAATGGAATTACATTTTCTAATAACAAACTTTTGGTTACGAACGATTTAAAATTTACATATTACACTGTAAGCCAGTAGCATTGTTCACATTTCTCAAAAAGGCGGTTTTTCTTTGGAACATTTATGGTCACGTAGGTAATAAAAGCATTGCAATATTTTCATTTTTAATCAATAGCTCCACACAAATCCATTTAAGTTTACAATGATTCACATAAAGCACTTGAAATACAAATGTAGTAGCTACCTAACTGGAAACCTTCGAGGATAAATATACAGTACCTTTCAGTATACCACACTTTAACCACTTTATCGACAATACTCAAATCCCTGAAACGTGATCTTTAGAGGCCACAATGTTCATACTTAAATTTCGTCAAAATAAACATTTATAATGTTTATCCAACATTCTTGCAATGGCAACAAATTTCTACTCCGACAACCCTCCAAATTTTAAGCGTGCAAGGATTCAATAATATACACTTTCCTTATTATTTTCTAACAAATGACAAAATGTTAGCAAACAATATATTAAAAGGCATTTCAATTAACATTATATTTTATTTTTCGTTTCTGAACAATTTATATTTTACTTCGTTACTTACGT